TAATAATAATAATAATAAAGAATTAAAATACACAAGATACTATGTAAGAAGAAATAAATTGTTAAAGAGTTTAAAAAGGTTCTGAGTAGTGAAGAACAGGGAAACCAGGGCTCCTTCCTTAAGCCAGACCTGTGAGGGAAGCTTGCTGGCCTTGACTTCCTGCCATACAAGTGTCATACAAGAGCTAATTCTGCTCTGCATCTTTAACAGGAAGGAAGACGCTGGAAATGGACTAATCCAACTGGACTTAGTATATTAGATATTCATATGAATATAGGCCTTTTTTCCACCTGGCTTTCTCGAGTTTTCTTCCCATTTTCCTTCTGGCCTCATGACTTTGGGGAGTTGGGGAGAGCTTGGACTGGGCCAGAAACTGCTGCTGATGTGTGCGAGTAGTGCCCAATTAGCAAATTATATGATACTAAGCTATAAAAATATACTAACACTAACTAACTAATAAAATTTAAACTATTTTCTTTAGACCACAGAAAGAATCATCTCTCTTTTTCTCATTGTATTTTGAGTTATACTGCAAAGGCTTTACTCTGCTTCCAGGATGATGAAAAACACATGCAAAACAAGTATTGACACCAGTGATATTAAAAAGTAAACAGTTTCACACTAATAGTGAGTAAATCATCCGACATTCAGAGGGAGCTCAGAGTTGCATTGAAACGAGACAGCTGAGGTGGTTAGGACATCTAATAAGCTATGCCTCCCCATAGAGGGTTCCCGGGCATGTTCAACAGGCAGAGACCCCAGGGTAGACCCAGAACAGGCTGGATGGACTATATATGTTATCTGGCTTCCTCAAAAAACATGCAGAGGGAATTTTCGACATACATTTTTGTTAAGTGGAGAAGTGTGAAACCATTGGCATAACCCACATCCACAAAACAGAGACCCACTCTTAATAACATACACTCCATAGTGCTAACAGTGGTCAAAACCTCCACAGAGTACCTTCAAGTGTGTCCTTGAATTTTTTTGCCATTGGGTGCACATCCTGTTTTTGTATTGCATAGTTTGTGTTAAGTATATCTGTCTTTCAAATACCTTTCAGTACTTCCTACATTGAAAGTACTACATGGTCATGTAAGATGATATTACTATGAAGTATATCAAATGGGTAAAACCATGCACTCATAGCCAGTCTGGCCCGACTCCTCTCTATGAATTCTTCTGGGTTGTGTGTGATGAATGACACAGAGACAAATACTTCCTGGCCAATTTATTCTCTTGATGGCTGTGTGTATAACACAATATTATCAGTATATAGCAACTTCACATGAGTAGGGTTCTACACACACACACACACACACACACACCTCTTCTCATCAGTGCCAACAGCTCATCAGGTAAGAAGAAGAAGAAGATAAGATATGACTTGTGTGCCACCGAACCTCCACAACATTTTGTCCTCCATTAAAAGCAATAAAACAAAATACATCTCATTTTGATCGTATAGTTACAATTACACTGCCCATTTAAATGCAATTTCCCCACCCACCTAGAGCCAGGGTCTGCTCAAGGTTTCTGCCTCTAAATAATTTATAAGGAGTATGGTCTAGACCTGCTACAGCTAAAGACGTCTAATCTGTTAACACGGGGGCCAAAATAAAAATCAAGACGTTACGCCACGTAGTGTGTACAAGCTGTCACAAGCTGACAAAACAAAAGGATTTCTGTACAAAAAAGTTTATCAGTGATTGACATTTTTCATTTGGGGGACAAAGATTTTTCAAACTACTGAGAAACATATAATGCAATTATTGATCAATATTAGTGATCAATAAAACATTGCACTATAGTACACTGCATTACTATTACTACAAAATAAAAAATTCAGATTTCACTGGTATGGAATTGTATTGCACATAAACAAGAAATTACTCAGAACCCTGTTTGTTCACAACATCTGGCTTCTTCAGTGGCTCCTGTTTTACTGCACTCTGTAGGACAGTCCCTCACCGGAGAAGCAGCTGTAATGTAAATAATGTATTATCTTCATTAAAATACTGGTTCTTCTGCAAACTACATGGCTGGTATATCCCCTCTTGCCTTATTTCTTGGAGCTTTTGGACAGCACATATGGACCAATAGTAACCCTCAGTTGAAGAGACAATTCATAATTCACCAAGTAAAAAAAAAATTCTTCATGGCTACAGTGTTGGCCTGGCAGAGAATGAATGTTCTAGATAAACTAAAGCCAAGTATGCTGGTACTGTATGGCATGCTCAGTGGCGTCAATCCAAGTATGGCAGCACTGAGGGGCCTGCAGGCGGGGTTCTCTGTGTGTACAAATATGTATGTGTACATGTCACACACACACACACACACACTTATTAATGTATTTAGTCATGCATGCCCTACTTCTTTACTGTCTGCTGCCAATAGGGGCAAGGCATATGGAGTGTGACAATATGGTTTTTATGATTTATTCCAATCCTGCGCTCTAGATTATGTTTTAAGGCAACATTGTTAATGAATGTACAAAGCCTTTAAATCTCCAGCATGGACATTACAATCCATATTATTCATAACCACTTAGTGCAAGGGGGACTGAAGCCCTTCCCAGCTAACATTGGGTGAGAGATGGGATACAACCTGGACAGGTCAACAGTCTATCAGAGGACTGATAGATTGAGCCAGACAAACATTCAGAATCAGAATGAGCTTTGTTAGCCAACTATATGTACATGTTCAAAAAATGTGACTCTAATGAACCTAAGCTGCAGAACTTTGGCGTGTGGGAGGTAGCCAAAGTACAGAGAAAACCCACACAGGCTGAGGAGGAACATGAGAACTCCTCACAGAAGGGCCCCAGCCAGTGGGTTTGAACCATAGACTGTTACTCTTAAGGCCTAGTAGTTGTAGAATATGGTCATGCAGAATAAGAAATTAGTTTGTAATATAATAAAGAGTCACTAATATGCATGCTAGTATGCAAATATGTAATGGAAAACCTGGATATGTTGGTTAGTCCACAACCTTTCTGATTGTCTGTGTTTGTTGACTTGTCAGACTGTGTTGTACATGTAACAGTTGCTCTTTATGTTCATATTTTCATCATCTGCTCTTGTAAACCATTCTTTCAATAAATCTTTTATAAGCAAAAGCTATGATGATAAATTAAACTGAATATGATTATTATAATAGTTATTATTATGCTTAAGAGCTGAGACTCTTATGCATAAGAGAAACAATAGAGCTGCCCTGAGGCCAGCTCAACTTAATGGGAGGAACATTGTATAATTCCTGTAACGCCGTCCTCCTCTGAACAACGAAACAAGTTCTTAAAACTGATTCACTGCATTTTACTGCAATATCTCATCCTGCGAACACTGACGGCCCAGCCTGCTCTTTCTATTTCTGACATCATGTGAGCGCCGTTTCCCACGCAGTGAGCCCCCAGGGCCAACAGAGATCCGGACTCACAGTCAATATGACATAATATGACTTAATGGCCGCAGCCCACTCCTGACACTGTGCAGGCATCACCATTTTATCAGCCTGCCCTGACCCTGTTTATGATGAATTCTCCTCATGTGCCAGTGTGGTTTGTTGTGTGTGGAGTTGCTAAAATGAAGCCTTGGCACGGGACCGTGGGGGGGATTCAGAAAAAAACCTTCTTCCACTTTGTTGATTTGTGTCTTTCTTTGCTCTGCATGGACCCACAGTCTGATAGCATTGCCATTTATCAAGACTCAACAAGTGAGTGCGTGTAGATTTAGATTGCATGTAGATGATTGCGAGTGCTGCTCATTGAAATCAATACTCAGCCGCATTACTGCGCAGTGATTCATCAGCCACAGAGCTCTGGGGGCCAAAGGGCTTTGCTGCAAGCAGACAGAAAGAAGAGAATTTATCAGTCCTCCTCATAATGATATTGGACAACTTATGGAGCAGTTATATAAAAACAGTAATTAGCTGTATCCTATATTGGGTTTAAAAGATGACTCAAATAGGGGTGCCCGGTTGGCTCAGTGGGTGGAGCTGGTGGCCCATGTGCTGAGGCTCAGTCCTTGCTGCGGCAGCCCGGGGTTCGGGTCCGACCTGCGGCCCTTTGCTGTGTGTCGTCCCCTCTCTCTGCCCCCCTTTCCTGTCCGTCTTCAGCTGTCACTATAATAAAGGCAATAAAAGCCCCCAAAAATATACTTAAAAAAAATAAATAAATAAAATAAAATGCTTCTGCCAATGTGTTTTCTATTAAAATATAGTACAATGATAACTACACACAATCACACTCATATACCTACATGAGTGTTCTCACTGACCAACGTCTCTCTGATTTAAAATATCATTTATATAACAAGGGAAGAACAGCTCATTTACACTAACATACTGACCACCACACAACCTACACACAACTATATACTGACTTTAACGGGTTGATATAATGATACAACAGAGAGGGTTGTATTCCTTATGCCAATAACTTTGGAGTTAAATATTACTAGGTTGGTGCTGGGCAAAATCTTAAAAGTTCACTCGACATTTCTGTACGCAAAAATATTTAAAAATTTTTATTTGTAAGGCGAACAAAACACAGATGGACTTCATACAGTAATGACAGCTAAGTTCCATTAAAGATCCCCTCCAGACATATATTAAGATGTGAAAACATCCTTCTAGTGTCAAACTCTGCACATACAGCATTCAAACTCAACACTGTAGGAACAAGAAACACTGATTTCTGACTGGAGTGAACCAGCAAACATAATAGCAGGACCTCCCACTGAGTAGAAAGCAGCTATCATTAATACACATGTTAGTTTCCTGCCATTATGTCAAACAGTCCATCCTTTTGCTGATTCTCTAATGCTAACAGGGATTGCTGACGTGAATCCCTCCACCACTTTCTGCTTGTGTCACTGAAGCTATAGCATTGTTATCTTGCTAAGGTCTATGTTCACGTATATTTCTGTATATCTGATGCTGTATCCTAAGGGTTAGGGGGATTAGGTCTCAGCAAGATCCTCACTGCTGCTCAGATTATATGAAAGCTCCCTCAGAGAGGCTTTTTCCACCAAATTGATCTGTATAACCTCTCTGACTGAAATATACTCTTTGGCCTTTATTGTAGAGTTGTACTCCAACCTAAAACCTTTTTTTTTTGAGCTGTAAACTGAACTATACCACTATACTGTGATCAAACATGTCATTGCTGCTGTTAGAATTGACATTATTACCAAATTTATGAAAATCTGCATTTTGTGGGTTAAAAATGGCTCAACACGCCCTCAATTGTTTGCCCTGTATGTTTTAAGACAAAAGCTAATAAAGAGTCAACTCTACATCAGAATATTTCTATAAAAATAGTGTTAGGGCCTCTAATCAGAGGAGGAGGAGGAGGAGGAGGAGGAGGGCGCCCCCCCCAGCCTCCACTTTGAACCTGCTGCGATCATTTTTAAATGTACACTGATATAGACGCACCATTCACAGGACTTTATGCTAGCTGTCACTATCACTCTACCTTAGTGTTATATTCTGGCGCTGTGGTTCGGACTTTATATGCTGTAGCAACTCCACCTGACTGCAGTGTTCACCCTGATCCCACACACTGACAGCCCCCCACAGACACACACACATACCTGAGAGTTAGCCTCTGAGTCACTAGCTCAGCTACAAACAGGTAGCTCACAGACACTTTTACAAACAGCCATCAAAGTGCTTCTAGTGAGTGTAAAAGCTCCAGCAGACTGTGTGTTTCTGTGGACAGAGTCTGACAGCAGCTGCTCATTAGCTCTCTTAGCTCTGACTACCAGCTCACTGTTCCTGCTACGCACAGAGGCCACACCCACTAACATCACTGTCCTTGCAGGTCTCTGATGCATTTTTTAATTTGCTGAGAAGGAGGGAGCTAGCAGAACTGAAGTGTAGTTACACTTTAGGGGTAGCTTGTAGCCTGGCAAGCTACAATTGCAAAGTAGCTTCCTCACCACTAAGGTTGACTGACATGACTGACTGAAGCGAACAAGGATAAAGAAGCTGGGCTGCCACTCCAACTAAAGACACTGAGAGGCCGAACAGGGCACACAAATCTCAGAGAGATGCACATGTAAAAATCAAGCCGTGAGGTGGGTGCGGTTGGACTCACAGGAGCAGAGCCTTTCTTGATGGTCACGCTGGGTGTGGTTGCCCTCAGTGCTCCGGTGACACCGTGGTAGTACCTGAAGCAGACCTGGGTTTCCACTGAGGATGACACACACACAGGTAGAGAGAAAATTAAACAAGAATGTTTTTGTGTCTTGTTGGAAAAAATGTATTAAACAAATTTTCATTTGTTAATTTTCAAATGAGTCTCCAGCAATGACTTCCTGCTGTTCCATGTGATCATGTTCATTTAAATTGCATAGATGAGAGTGGGAGTCACTGTACAGTGAATCTATAATAATACAGTTATATACAAGTATGTAAAGGAAATATAAATGTATGCAGTATACATAAATATACTGTATGTGGAGTTATGTAATAAACAATTAAGTATGTAATAAGTGAAGCTCACACACACACACACACACACACACCTACACACCTAGACACACACACACACACACACACACACAAAGATGTAATGAAATGTCCTTAGTGCCTTTTGAGTTATTCATAAAACTAAATAAAATGTTTTTCATTTCATTGTCATTAATTAATGATGACTATATAAAGTTACATAACACATGCTTTTTAAGTTTATAATACATCAATCAGTTATAGCAAAAAAATAAATAAATAAATAAAAACACAAATATATATTTGTATCGAGAAATTAGAGGTAAAGAATGAATTTAAAGGACTTCACTTATTTGTGGAGTTATCAGTGTTAGCTGAGAGGTGACATTTACATTTCTAGACTATATAGTCATTTGGAAAAAAGGGGAAGTAGAGCAAAAAAGCAAAAGGCTTGGGGAGCATGAGGAGATTAAGGTCATAGTAAAGCTCCATGTTTTTCTGCTTGTTTGGCCAGACTCACTCAGATGGTTTGACAAGAAGAGGGGGGAACACACAGCAACACTGCATGCAAGTGACTGAATGAAAGCATGCCTGCAGTGTGCCTAACAGAGAGGGACGCGGAAATATAATCACTTCTATTTGCCTTAAATGGCTTTGAAACAGTCACATTATGAAAACCGTAAACGTAAGTATAGTTGCCTTTAAATGAGAACAAGGACCAAGAACATAGAAAGCCTCATTAGAAAACATTGGGAAAGGTCACACAGACCTATTATTGTACATGCCAGTGACAAAATGAACTAAACTAAATGTACAACAGTGCAGCTTGGTTAACTGCTTTTTGTCATTAAAGGTAATAATCATTTTAACAGCAACAGCACGGGGCAACTCCGACAATTATTATTTTATCACAATTATGTTGCGCTGACAGACACAAGTGCTGCCTGGGTTATGTTCTGAGTGTGAACGTGCTACTGTACATTTATGTATGTATATTTATTGCACAGAAGTCAAAGGACTGTAGTCTAGGGTTGGCATCCTAGACCCCTGTCTCTTGTTAGATTTAGACATTATTGTTGTTATTTTTATTATTGTTATTGTTGTTATTATTATTATTATTATTATTATTATAAGGCCAAAATGGCTGCCGACCCCTCCATTATCCTGAACTGATACGAATGTTTGTTCAATCAGGCATGTAAACAAGGAGATATATTTGAATTAGTATTAGCAGAAGCAGTATTGTATTATTGATAGTGGTAGTTGAAGGTAACGGTGAAGGCAGCTGTATTTACATATCACATGGCTTTTCCATGCTGACAAGAGTAAATGTTTTTGAGAAGTATTAAATACTTGGAACAGTTCAACATAACAGCTTCAGTAAAGCCTGTAGGCTCTGAAAAAGCCACCTGTGATACAGAGGCTGGTGTTACTAAATGGAAACACCTGGATGTCTTTACACTGATAAATGTATTCTGTTTCATGTAAGCATGCACGTCTCTCTCACTCATACACACAATTCCCCATGTCCCTAAACGCAGTGATTGTGCACCATTTGTCTCCCTGCACCCATTCTCTCCCTCCCTCCCTCCCTCCCTCTAATGATGTGCCTCTGTAAGCAACCCTGTTACTTTTCCTGAGAAGCCACTGAACCAAACTATAGTATATTTTAGTGCTGTTTTTTTACATTCTGTTACTGTTTTTCAGCTCTACAGTGCCAGTGTCCAAACAGAGATCAATGATGTTTTATTTCAGCATTACATTTACAGCACCTTGAAATAGAATATCTCTGCTTCTGCTTCTAGAATATCTCTACTTCAAGGCTGTAAATACAATGTCTCCATGTTTTGGTTCAAAAACAGTTTGCACAGATTTTAATGGCTTATGAATAAGCATAATGTGACAGGCTGCATATGACTGGTAGAACCTGGCTGAAAAACTGTAAAAAGCACAATTCCAAACATAAACAGGCAAAACATTCACTATAAAACAGCTTGGACAAAGAATGGATTTAACATTACAATGAAGGCTGTTTATTGAGAAACTATTTTCTTCTAAAGAGATTTAGTCACTTACAGACACTGAAGTGGGAGCTGGAGTCAATTTTCCAAACGATCTGTCCTTTGTGAGATCCGTTGATGCCTCGGTTCTTATAGTCCAGAAAGTTCTCTGACAAAGCCTCATCTGGGAAGAGAGATTAAACCGATGAGACCACACTGCTACTCCAACCCTCCAGAATTCTTTTACAAAGTCATTTTTTATTTCCCATTTCCCATTACAGTTCACTTCAGAGGAGCATACAACTATAAGTGATTCTCCTTGTATAATTCTCCTTGATTTCCTACCAATTACGGGTGTACCATAATGTATCATAATATCAGTAGAAATGCTAATGTGTCAAATGTGTGTGAAATGTGTCATATCACAATATGTACGGTATTATGACAGGTAGAGGTATTTACATTTTGACTATGTACAGCAGTAACACAATATCTGACAGTGAAGGTCACATAGAGAAGTTTTTTAATGATGGTGCTGGGTGATATGACTATATATAAAGTGACAACCGAAAAATAAATGTGAAGTAAATTGTCTAACAGAACAATGGCCAAGCGTAAGAGACAAGAAAACACTGAACTGAAGGAGGTGCGTTGTGTTGTTGATATTGATGAACTGCTGTTTGTTTGTGCGATATGACCTTTTCCAGAAGACGGCAGTACCAGTGATACTGATGGAGGACTCAAAGTGGGAGGGATAAATGGTGTGGTTGATAGTGTCAAAAGCAGTGAGGTCCAGTAGGGTGAGAATGTTGAGGTGACCAGATTCTTTGAAGAGGAGGAGTTTGTTTATGTGCTGTGTTGAAATGGTTCAAACAGGTCACTGGAAACTAGGTGGGCTTTGAGTGGGGAGGCAACAACATGTGCCAGTATTTTTGACAGAGAGGGGAGATTGGAGACGGGGTTAAGACCAGGTTGTTGTTTTTAAAGATGTGGGTGACAGCAGCCAGTATGAAATATCCATAAAACATGTGACTTAGTCAGGGGTCATCAGTTTACTTAATGATACAAAAAGGGGTCAAAAAGGTTGGGAACCACTGACGCCATAACCCAACCCTAAACTCAAGCACGGGTACAGGCAAGGGAAATAAAGGTACAGCAACATGGGAGAGAGGTAGGACTGCACCATATGGTAAAATAATCATATCGCAATTACGCAAAAACGCGATTTTACTCAACAAGTAACTGAGTGAGAAAGGTAAGGGACAGGGGAACAGGGGAGAGGAGGAAGATAAAGGTAGAAATGAATGCTCCTAGATTGAGAATAGATTAGATTTAGCTTCATGTTATTTCTTCTTAATTTTGTATATACACATTGAATCTATTTAATTCTTTTTACTTTGATTTTATTTTTAAAAGCTTTGTTAATTCACTTGTGTTTGATATGGTTCTACTCTCAAAATACAATCCTGTATCTGTCACATGTATCTGTGTAAATTCATATCATTTTATAATAGACATTTTTCACAGCGATGTTTCTAATAACTAGCATTCTCATTTACGAGCAGCCTTTGACATGAAATAAGGTAAAGCATAAGATTATATATTATATAATATATATATATAATCATAAATATGAGGATTGATACAACAATATATTGTATGTATAATTTTCTGTGGGTCAATAAAAATATCTGAAACTAACCAATACAACTGACACAGTTGGAGGATGCTAAGAGTGAGGGAAGCCAGTGAGGGATGATCTTACTATGAACACCAGGAATTCAGGGTTTAGGTCAGAATACACAAAAAGTTACACAAGTTAAAGAAAAAAAGCCTCCTTATAAATCTGTTAAGTGGTAATTTCACCCCCCAAATTAAAGCGGTGAACGGGCCCTCGCACTCCACGCAAGTCGCCCCTGACTCTGGGGCGGCGCCCGTGCACGGGGACAATTGCATACGTCGAGTTCTCGAACGATTGAATTTTGTGCAAATTTTCCTGACTTTTCGAGCATGCTGCGACCTCCAAATATGCAGTTGAAGAGGCAGACAATAATAACTCCTTCCATTACAATAGGGCCTTCACACGGTCAGTGCTCGGGCCCTAAATAATCATATACCTTTAATGGTGTCTAGCTATGCAGATAGTTTTGGTATACACCTCTGAGATTTCTGCAGTCACCTCTGCGGGCAGCAGGTGAAAACAAAAATGTGTGGTTTTTTCTTTGAGAAGTCAGAAATGAAATGACTGTGCAGCCTATTTTCTATATTTAAATACTATTAACCCTAATCAGCCGCCAGGGTTTTCTTTTATTGTGAAAGCCGCAAGTTCGCACATCCTGAGAAAACATACAGCTGCAGCAGGAGCACAGGTAATGGGCCAGTTAACAGAAACTATTCACACAACCACCAGGAGATCAAGGACGCTATAACCCTGCAAGCTGTAAAGTGTGAATGCTGGAACATCAGATAGTTTGAAACTGTTTGTGGAGATTAAGCGAACTGACACAGGGCATCGTTTTTGACATCGTTGCCCAGCTGGCCGTGTGGACGCAGCAGCATCGTAGTGAGTAGCAACAGTTGGTGACTGATTCAACCAAACAATTAATTATGATCTTAATTCAAGGGTCTACATGTTACACTTATAATTGCACAAGTAAAAATACCACTGTGTGTGTAGCATGGGTCAGATCGCAGGTCAGGTCTGGATTTGACGTGCAGGACTCTGGTGTCATGTGCTCAACACTCCTTTACTCTGTTACAACAAGTGTAAGCTCATTGCAAGGAGGAACAAACTATGGCTATAAGAGATCTGTATACTGCAAAAGAAACTAGCAGTGCTGGTTTTATCGTGGCTTTGTATGTGGTAACTTCTATGGCCACAGTCATTAAATACATGTATTAATAATTAATACAATTAATATTAACTGTAACATTCAATGTCATCATGTCACTTACCAACAAGATACATTCCGATCCAGTCTCCAGCATCCACTTCCTCCTTGATGTCCCATGTGATCACCAGGTCTTCAGACTGGCCTATGCTGTAGTGGGAGGAGCTGATGGTGAGGGTGGAGCGAGCGTCTGGGGAGACCAGATCAGTGTCACTGGTGGACCGTGACAGCCCCAGCATAAAGGCCTCCTGGTTTAGACCATTGACAGCGTAGCTGTCCGGGCCATAGCTGTGGCGAACCGCATCCTTACAGCGCTGGCGGGTCTGGCTGCTGCGGGTCGGGGAGGCCATGGCCGCCAGGCCTAGGAACCGATTCTGGTACAAGTTCTACAACAGGATAGAAAATAAAGAAGGAAAAGGAATTAAAAATTAAAACATGGCCACCAGGTGTCCAGGTGGTCACTTTATTACACTGTCTATTGATCTTGGTCCCATTGCATACTGTAACAAATATTTTCCTTTTCCCAGAAAAAATCCATTAATTCAGTTTATTTTTATATTTGACCCCCAAAAATCTGTGAAAACATATATATAAATACAGCAGTCAACTGTCAGCAGTGTGCACAGTATGGAATATGAACGATGGAGAGCATGCCACTAAGAGTCGTAGAAGCAGAAATATGAAGTACAGTTGAAGAAATATGTCCTCCACTACCTGTACACTAGTAAGTTACAGTGTTGATCAGTGTCACAATGCTTGTGGTAAATTTATACCTTCTCTACCATTCATATCTCCTACTCTGTCACTCTTAGTGTATCAGCAAGAATCTCGCAATACAATATATATCACAATACAGGGGTTATGATTCAATAGATTGCGATATATTAGAACTTTTTAAAATCTGATCTATGGAAAACTGTAATAGTATAAATAACACATCATCATATGCATAAAATCTGATGTTAAAAAAGTTAAAAGGTTAACAGTCTTGGCTGTCAGTGAAGGTGGAAACTTGGGGGCTGGTAAAAAAGACGCTTTGGGTTGTACGAGTCAAATGTGAATTGTTACCACGTGGTACAAGCAGTCAAAAGAAAGTGGGTGACTGAGATGTTATATCCAGGCAATAAAATGGGGCTGGGTTGTCAGGTTTTATTGAAGGCATTTTATTGAATTTCTGAAGGGGGCATGTTTAAGCTAAAACAGGGTGTCAGGTTGCTCCTTAAGGACACTGCAGTGGTGGGATGACCATGGTCTGTACCAGAGATATGTCTGTCTGATACTGTAGTGTTTACTGTATCAAAGACTTGTTTTTATCATGTGTTTTCGGATTGTCCATAACATTAGGTAATAACAGATTTTTAAAATATGTGCTGTAAAGAGGTTCCCTTTAAGTATGTGTTGTTTAAAATATGCATGCATATCTAAGTTCAGCAAAATTAGTAACTACATTCAAGTTTATATTACCAATGTCTGTCTATAACAAGACACAATTCAAACATTACTTTCCTTTCATCCATGTTTGACCTTTTAGCTAAAAGCACAGCCGCTTGTGTTGACCGTGCTGTCTTTCACTCTACTCATTTAGTGGCTGAGAAACACAGCCAGTGTGTGAATTTAAATGTTTTAGGAGCAAGCCGCCAAATCACTGGTAAGTGACTGGTAAGTGGTCCTATACCAATGTTGGGACTGACCCACTCCTCTTTTTTCTCCCAATGCTGATTTGATACTTAATCGCAGGTCATTGGAGTCAATCAGAAACCTAAACTCCAATAACAATTATTGGAATAGTATCAGTAAAGCTTTACGATCAGAAAGTTGAGAATCTGGTTGATTTGAATGATGATTGGTTTATTTAGTGGCTCAGGCAGCATGGTGATTAGCTTAGCATGCTGTTAACATTAGTTAACTAACAGTTAGCTTAGCATGGTATTAGCAGATGATTATTTGGTTGTTGCATGGTTTCAACATTCAAGTTAGTCTGTATCATATGCAACAACAACATTAAGCCAGTCACTGGCAAAGACATTTTTAGAGGTCCATTTAGGAGGATCTATTGTCAGAAATTGAATATAGTATTCATAGGTATGTTTTCATTAGTGTATAATCATCTAAATATAGAAATTGTTGTGTTTTCATTGTCTTAGAATTTATCTACAGAGGATTATCAGAATTAGGGCTGTACCAAAACTGTGATATGATTCACAATTAGTGGGAATGATTTGTCTGTACCAAAGATCTCTGTAGGCCAGCCATATCCTCAGAACTACAGTACTTTCTACAGAAGTGTCACACATTTTACCTTTATCAATTACAGCTTCTGTGATTTGAATATTGCACATATTGTGATTTTGATAATATTCTGAATAATTGTGCATTTGATTAATTAATCAGTATAATAGTATAATTTTTCAGTCGATTGACTAATCACTAAATCTATTGTTTCAGCTCTATAAAATATGTTATAACTAAGTTTAATGTGGATAAAGTCATGGGGCAAAAATACAATAATGACATCACAGAAGGACAGTAGGATGATTTTACTATAAAGTACTATATCCATCAGACATGTTTTAAGACACTATGGGGTACTATAAGAATATTACAAGTAACTTAATTAGTCCTCGTGCATTCCATCTGCGTTCATGGAATAGAATTGCTATACTCAGTGTTTACACATGGACTTCAAACTGCTTAAATAAGCCACTTATAAGACATATTAAGATGTTGAAGTTGACCCATTTCCTTATTCTCAGCCGATGGAAAGTGTTCCTCCTCAGGTTTGTATCAGCAGCTGGAGGTAAATACTTGTTTGTCTGGACGCTGACGCATCGCAGTGGTGAGCTGACACATTGTGGTTCATGATATCTGGTAGCTGACATGCTGGTAACAGCTGACATCAGATTGTCCTTTCGGCCTCTTCAGGCCACCAGCCTATTCAGGTTTTTATACTATTGTTGGACCTAGAAAGTCTGTTTTAGATGTTTGAAATTCCTGTTGCTGCACTGGAAATATATCAACATGATGTTCTACTGTGACATCCATAATCTTGTTTTTAAGGGTTAAAATGTTTATGGGTGTATACTTCCATTAAGCTGATACCCTGTGCTGATAGGACAGGAAGTCATTGTCTTTGTGTTCTTTGTTTTTTGATGGAAACACCTAATATTGGAGTGCAGTATCATATCCTCATTCATGTCATTCACAGTGACACTGGCTGCTGCTGATATTTGATGCTTTGAGGGTAAAAGGTATGAAAAACATAATAACAACATCACATAAAACATAAAGATGTTGCGATGCTAACAACTCAGTCTACAGAATGACAAAAGGATCATATCTGATATTAGATCCAGCACAGACAGCATTTTAAAGCTGGTTTCATAGATCGTATCATAGTTAGCATGATGAAAATGGTTCAGACAAACTAGAGAGAAATCATTTGGAAAATCACACTGTAGAGTGTACAAACACAAAAGGAACACGCATGCATCAACACATCTTTTGGACTAGTGCACACAAAAGCTATTAAATCGGCAGAAGCCCATTATTAAGGCAGTTGCGAGAGGGAGGATATGGAGATTTTAATGGTAGCACAAGCTTAGTACATCCAAATCAATTTTGTGACTATTTTTTCCTTTCCCTTTTTCCCCTTGGAATAGAGTATCCTAAATAAAACATACAGGTCCAGGCCTGTTTGTAGAGACATTGAAGTGGAATGGACAAGAGACATTACCATTGTACCTCTGCTATAGCTATCCATTAGCACTATTATATTCTGAAATAGATTTCTTTTAATGTGTATTTCTTTAAGACATTTGAATGGCCTGTTTACATGCCTGAACACACCGTACAATCTGTAAGTGGGCCACTGTTTTTCCTTCCTGGGTCATGGTTGACAACTACGGACGTGTCTACACTTGAGATGATGCCAAGAGACGTATTTCTGCAAAGGGCATCTCCTAATTTATTCAACAAACACTACAAAATGTTATAGACACAGCATCAGTTACAGTATAACTCTAAAGATTTTCAGTATATGAAAGCTGCAGTAGGTAACTTTTACAAAACTAACTTTCTGTCATTATTGCTTCAATTTTCACTGTTCTGACAGCTGACAGTACTACAAACTATGTTTGTGTTTACTTACTGTCAGCTCTACAGTAACGTTAGCTTCACCGCCGATCACCCGACAGTGCTGTTTTATCCTTATTTTATCCACTTTCACAGTTAGCTTTGCACATACTGGTACTAACTTTGCCAGTGAACTAGCCTAGCTGGCTAATACAAGAGAAAGAAAAGAAAAGAACGGTCAAGGTTATGAGGAGGGCTCAGCTCTACAGAGTTTTGCTCAGTCCTTCTTTGCTCTTCATTGGCTATGTTCTCTTCTATGAACTTTCACTTGTATGCAGCTAATGCTGGGATAATGGGCAAAGGGCAAAATGGGCAGTTAACACCAGTTTACCATCACCAAGCGGCCCAGGGTGTGTAGCAGGCATTTTCCAGCAAGTAGGGTTTACTGCTCAGTTAAAGGTTAAAGATGGTGCACGTCAGTCACTTTAATTTTGGCAGCTCTTCCAAGCACCAATTGTTAAAAAGAGCCATAGCAAACCAAACCTTAACTAGCTGTGAAAATCAGGCTAACACTGGGGTTAGTAGCCAGCTAGGTTAGCGCGCTTTCTAAAAAACACTGATGTTATTGCAATGATGAAAAACACTATATGAGAAGCTAACGCTACTGTAGAGTTGACAGGAAGTAAACAGACGTGCAGTTCGTATACTATCACACTACTCTTGATGAAGGAATTCTTACTGTTCGGCCAAATTATTTAACATGTTAAAGAATATTTCATATCTTACATTTTTTTAGATCTTTTATTCTTTAATAAAGTTATAGAAACCAGCCAACCAACCAAGTACATTAGCATCATCAAATGCTGGAAAATTGGCCCACAATCCACATGGAAAACGTATAAAGTATATCAATGGGCTCTACAAGCCACCATAACAATACTATAAACTATAGCCTTAGCTTTAGTCAGTTCTTACAGCATAGTGACAGTTCAGTTGCTTGGTTAATAATCCTAATATACTGCAGCGACCAGCTTCCACTTCATTAAAGT